ACAAGTAAAATGATGATAGGGCACTGACTGTTTTAAATGGGTTATTGGTTTATACCCAGACTACTCTAGAAAAACCATGAGTACCCATGAAATACTCAGTGCCCTGTTTTAAACAATTAAAACACCATAGTGTAATAGTGGGCAGGGAAAACGCCAAGTGCTGTCTAAGAGGCGCAGGAAGGCCCTGAAATGGAGGGTGGGAATATTATATACTGGTTCTGATAACTTTATTTTATTAGAGAAATGAAACAAAGTTTTCACTGTTTTATTTTTCAAATTTCTTTAGAAAACACAAGCACAACTGCTTCTGTATTCAAGAGGTTGTGAGTGGGTTGAGACAGCCTGTTGGAGCAGTGCATTGTGGGGATGGATCTCATCGTCTCTTTATCCTTGAAAAGGAGGGATATGTCAAGATTTTCACTCCTGAGGGGGAGATAATGAAGGAACTTTTTCTGGACATACACAAGCTTGTTCAAAGTGGAATAAAGGTTGGAATTTTTATTTCTCTCTCACTATTTGTATAGTTTAATCTCATTATGCACACTCACCATGCACATTTAATTTCATTCAAAATAATCATGGGTAAATGGAATCAGGGTTTTTTCAGGAAAATATTTTAATTTAAAAAGACTTTTCGGGAATATAGGAATATCTCTAAAATATGGCAGAGTTTCAGCTGACAAAGAAAGAGACTTAACAAAATACTCTTTTTTCTCAAGTGAAATTTTAATCTGTCATCCACCTTAAAGATATGCAAAGATATATCACACCAGAATCAACGTTATCTCTACATTTATATTATTCAGGCACGATTATCCTACCAGTGAAGTGCATGGAATTTTGCTGTTAATATAAATGGGGCCAAGTTTGTCCCATTTAAGGAATTTAAGGAATTATTCTAATTTGAAATGTTTATTACCAACGGTGTGGTAGAAGGAAACAGGAGGGATACTTCTCACCACTCCACCTAAGAAGGAGGAGCTTTCTTTTCTACAACCAAGGGGCTCCTTGCTACCTTTCCTCATGCATTCTATCCAAGAATGTCTCACAAACTATCCATTAGATTGGGAGCTGCTCTCCAATGATTGGTACACTATGTGTACCTAATAAAGTTATTTCATCTCCAATTGCAAGCCCAAATAACAACTGTCTGTAACAATTCTCATTAAAGTCAACTGAAAGTCTATTAGTGACTCTAAGAGGAGCTGGAGTAGACCCCTGGTAGTTGGCCATTAAAGTGAATGTGATGGAGTTTTTTTAAGCAGGATTTCTGGTGTGACAAAAATCATGGGGTAAGTAAACTTTTAGGGGACTTGCAAGTCTTACACAAGATATTCATATGGGAATGGTCTATATTTTGTTTCAATGCTTACTTACTGTCATGTATACTACTGTCAAGAAGCAACTTATGTCACAAAAGTCTCCGTAAATGTCTGAGAGGCAAGACAATCAGGACTCATAGTAGAGATGATACCTTTTATTAGATGAACAAGATTTTTGCAAAAAAATTTCTTTAATTGCAAGCTTTCAGGCACAAACACCCTTCATAAGGCATTGGAGAAAAGATTATAAAAGTTCTCCTGGGTAGAAATGAAGAGGTTTTTGTGATATCTTTTACTGAACCAACAGTGTAGTTGGAAGAAATATTGGAAAAACTTTTGGCATAATGTGTCTTTACTTAGGGATGCTTCAGCTAGAAGGGTGCTCTATGCCCAAAACTTGTCCAACGTCTCTTCCAACTATACAGTTGGTCCAATAAAAGATCCTTCTCTCTCATACATTTCTTGGAACATTACAACTACAACAACATGCCAGCCTCCTTACATGAAAGGATTTCACTTGCTTGTTGGCATAATTTTCAAAAACAATGGAAATGAGTTACATTAATCAAAATAGCACAGTGCATGGTAAATAGTCATTTTATATTTCAGATATAACACCAATGGCCTGGTTTCAGATCACCTCTTTTCAGGAGGAGTTTGGATGATTCTTGGTTTGAAACAGAGTAGTGTATGTGCAAAATATGACTTTCTTTAAAATAAATACCTAACTCCTATGATTTTGTGATTCATTTAACCATTTCATTTCTCTCTGTGGAGGAACCTTCAGCTGTAGAGCTCCAGGAGAAGAAAAAAACAAATTGACAAAATACACAACAAACAAAGCATCTACATGGCACAATATTATAAGCAGTATGGTCACGTTAGTGCCAAACCCCATTACACTCCTTCTGAGCAAGCTTAGGTACCTATATATGGCACTACATTGTATTTTGAGACATACCACCAAAAAAATGTGTGATGGTGAAATGTAATATAAAGCACTAGGAATACCATGACGAAGAGCATTATATAGATCACAGGTTGGCAACATTTTCTGGCACGAGACCAGAATGACCCAACTCAGGTCCAAAGCAGGCTCGTGCTAGAACCTAACTGCAGCCACTGCTGCAGCTTCTCCCCACTGCCACTTCTCTCCACTACCCAGTTGCAGTGCAGCATGGGCAAAGTGCCATCCTGCCTGGTCACAGTGCTGTGCAGCACCCCCAAAGCCCCATCACCAACAAGCACTGCCAAAGCCTCCACTGCACTGGCAGGATCCAGTGGCTCTGTGGGTGAAATCTGGCCCATAAGCCATAGGTTGCCAACTCCTGACCTAGATATTAGTAAAGGATGTACACTGGAAAATGGGCTGGGTTTTCCAACAAAGCAATCTCAAGTTACTTTCTTGAGTGCATACCAATAAGTAGCTTGATTTTTCAAAAGGACTGAGTGCCCAGCAGCTGCTACTCAAATCTGTGGGAATCACTGAGCATTCAGCAATGTTGAAAATCAGCTAAGAGATTCTTGGCAATTTTCTGATGGAAAGATTTTTTCATTATCACCGTATACATAGTTCTGTTAACAAGCTTCAGTTACCTGCAAAAGTAGGAGAGAATAAATAAAGCCAAGTCATCTCTAATAATTATTCTTAAAAGCTCTTAAACATTTTACAGTGTCTACCATAACACATGACATCCTGTGGGCCACCTCCCTTCCCAAGCTGGCTGACATCCTTGTGGCAATACAATAATTGTTTACATAGTCATACTTCAAGGGCATTTGCTACTTCTTTCTTTTATCTAGAAATGTGATTTAAGAATTAGATGTCAGTAAATAAGAGCACTCTTTTATGGCCCAGCTTTCCAAAGGATCAGTAGCTAGTGCCCATGATGTACAGTCAAGAATATCAGAGTATCTCTTAAAGTTTTACATATTCAAAGAGTGAGAATTATTGAACCAGTCCACTGTGCCTTGCTACTACATACACTATTTACAGATTTTTAAATGCATAGTACAGTATTTCTCCAGAATCTTTGCCTATTTTGCTAGATGGCAAAATAGAACTTTAATACATAGATTATTGGTACTATTACCCATGAATGGCTAGGGTTTTTAAAGGCAATGTACCTGTATGTAATCTGTCTGAAGAAAGGATTTTTTTTCTCTACAGTACAGAAGACATATTTCATTTCCATTAATGTAAGTGTAATGGAAGCTACTTGTGTATATTTTTCATATGAACAACAGGCGTTTTTATACATGCCTTGGAGGTGGAGGGTGGGGTGCTTTAATTAAAATGGCTCTGAGAGCCGCTCTAATTAAAGTGCCTGAATTATCTCATGTATCAGTGTCCCCACATTTCAAAATGGCAGCGGGGGTGCTTTATCTAAAGCTGATCAAATGAGATTCAGTTAAACCACTCCCGCCACCATTTTGAAGTGTGGGGACACTGATACACAAGACACAGAGGGTGGCTGAAGCACGATAATAACCATGCTTCAACAGACTCAATTAATTGTAGTTACAGCACACTGGAGCAGCCTTTGGGGTCATGTACAGGCACCCATGAGTTTGATTCTCCTCTTATACCAGCATTACTCAGACATAAAATGAAGTCACTGGAATCTTAGTAATATGTGATCAGGCCCAGAATATTCAAGATGAACTGTTTTTGAAATGGTATAAAGTCTTTTTTACTATTTTCACATTAATTTCACAAATTACTAGACTTTTAAAGCCAGAAGGGACAACACAGTTATCTAGTCTGACAAGTCCTGGATAACACAGGTCATATTTTTATCCTGGCATTTAATATGCAGATTGTCTATTGAAAAGGATATAAAGACAGTTTTCACATTTTGTCAAAAATATCAAATTTAACCCAAAAACATCTTAATCCAATAACAATTTTATTTGAAGAATGATCATATAATAACACCCCTGAAAACAGCAGTTTAAGACTTTTCTGTTTAATTTGCATTAACAACCACATACCCCCTAATCACTACAATAACAAATTATGATTTTTTTCAAATTTTTATGGCTGTAAGTTTTATCTGGCAAAACATAATTTTTATACATCTGCACATGACTTAATCATAGGCAACAACTAGGGGGCTGGACTTGATGATCTTCTGAGGTCCCTTCCAGCCCTAATGTCTATGTAATGTCTATGAAACACCATTAGAAAGGGTTTTAAACTTGTGCTTTTTTAAAATAGCTCAGACTAGAAGGATAAAGGCAAAACTGCAATGAGTTAACCATTCTCTTCATTTTGTGCTGGTGAGGAGGAATGTTGGTCATGGTAAGCCTATTTGAGATGGGTAGACAGAAGGACATGTTGCAGTACAAATAGCCATGGAGGTTGGTCCTAGTCTGACTAGCATTAGTTCCCTTATCACAGTATTTGTATTCAGATCCGTAGACGGGGAATCAATACACTGGAATGAAGGGAGCCACTGGTTATATTGTAAAGTTGGGCTGTGAAAAAGCCTTTACATTGGATTCAGCCCACAGAACTGCACCGTCTGGTTCCCTGGGCTACTGGTGGACCAGTGAATTTCAGGATGTGGCCAGCGATGGGTGGGACAAGGAGCCCTGCAGTCCAGATCTTGCTAGAGATGCAAGGTGAATTTGACATCCCTGAATTTGACAATCACTTGTGCTATCAGTAGTGCACGGGGTTCTATGCCAAAGTGCTTCTACTCTTCTAATGTGGTTGGTAAGCTATGTATTTTGACAGTCATTTGAAGTTGCTCAATCTACCCAGAGTTTGCAGATAGTGATTAATGATCCTCCTATGATGCTGGTACCTTCATCACCAGCAGTGGATTTGACACCACTTACATACTTTGTTTGGCACCACTTATATACTTTGTGGACTTCTGGCAGCTGTCCTCCCCTCCAAAAAAAAAACAACAGAATAAAGGATGTTGGTATATACATTCAGAATTATGTGTTGTGTTGCCACAAGCACATTAAAACTAAGTTTGTATTTCATCATAGCAGGAAGATATGGTCTTGTGTCAAAGGTGGATGAACTGAACCCTATGGGAGGATTCTCAAATACAGAGAGATGCAAGATTCATGGGAAAAGAAAAGCCAAACCCTAGAGACCCCTGCCCAGAAGCAACTTGTTTCTTCACACCTCCAAATCAGTGATCCTC